GAAACACTTGGCGCCGCCCAAGTGTTTGAGGTAAGATCGTCGATGCGTGGGAGCGGGCCAGCATTCTTAATTGTTTGAGCAGTAAGCTTACGATAGTCAATGCATAAGCGCAACTCCTTGTTCTTCTTCCGAACGAAGAGAACGGGTGCACCGTAGGGCGAGCAGCTAGGGCAAATCCAGCCCTTGTCAATGAGGTCATCGAGTTGCGTTCAAAGCACTTCGAGTTCCTCCTCGCTCATGCGGTAAATACATCAGCGCGGAGGTACGGCCCCGTCTTCGAGGATGATCTCGTGACGAATTGGCCGATTCGGTACGATTCCGGCGGGGACTTCAAAGACATCGCCATAAGAGTCAAGAAGTTGTACAATGCGTGGATCCGGTGGTTGTTCTGCCGCTGGCTCGTCGGGAGGAGGGAGGGCGAGCAAGAAACAAATGCCCATTTCCTCCACGTTGTTCCGTGCGATGGAGTTGCGAATGCTTGCAGCGGAGACCACATGACAACCAATCGAAGGGTGAGGTGGGGGGACCGTACATGGTACAAGTACCCCGTTCCGGTCACGAACGTGAACGGTGCGGTGGTAGAAGTTCACTGGGTGGTCCTTGTTGCGCAGCCACGACATGCCCAAAATCATGTCGAACTGTGTGTCCAATATGTCAAAGGACACGGCCTCACGTGCATGCGGGGCGAAGTACACAGGGACGGAGTCAACGCACCGGTCAATGGACTTGTGCGTGTGACCGTCTGCCAATGTGACTTGTGTGGGCTGCAATTTCCTTCAAACGCGCGGCCCAAGGCCGGCGCGCGTCATGAAGTCTTGGCTGATGTAGTTGCGAGTAGCTCCACAATCAATCAAGGTGCTGCAGGTCGCCTTCCCGATCTGAATGCGGACGTAGAGTAACGGTGCGTCGATGTTGTCGTACCGTTGTGTGGCGTACTCGCGGTCAATCTTCGCAATGTACTCGCGAAGGTCAACAACCGCTACTCCGTCTTCCATCAACGGAGTTGGTTCTGCAGCGCGCAAGTAGGTGCGTAGTTCCACCATTAGGGCGTTGCAATGCGGCTTCGGCAAGGAACCGGATGGGGGAAGAGGCAACCATTGGAAGTCCTCCGACGTCAATGGGTCGAGCTCCTCAAGTCTAGACCATATCGATGAGTCCCCGAATAGTGCCGACGAGGATGCTGGTTCACTTGACGATGGTGTTGAAGTGGCGCACACATATGACTCTTGCACGTGGAGAGGTTGGTGCAACGGCGGGACCAGCTGGACAGCATAGTCTTCATAACCTTCGTGAAGACTGGCGACATACGCATGTTCCCCGGACGTGGAGGAGGGTGCTAGCAAGGCAACCGTGTCCGGCGAAGTAGGAAGTGGAGTTGCCTCACTTCCCGCGGAGCTCAGTTTCCCGAGCTTTGCCGTAGACTGACATTTTTTTTGCCTTTGTCAGGGCATTGCGACGTCGTGTGCTTGGTGCTGTTGCACCAGTAGCAACACTTCCACCTCTGGCGGAGCTTGTATTGCTCCTCCGTGAGGTTGAACTTCTTACATGGCTCGTTCGGCTGTCCGACTTCCGTTGTTGACACAAATTTCGCCTTTTTCTTCTTGTTGTTGCGTCGTGGCGGAAGGGCGTTGACTCCGTCTCCTTCACTAGACTCATGAGTCAGCGCCTAGTCGTCCTCTCCATTGTATTGGACAGCAACAACTTGCTGCGTCCGGGGGCCTTTGCCCTTTTCCACAAAATTTGGTTGGCTTCGCTGCTCGTTGGCGGCCCACCGATTTGTTTGGATGACTTCGCGCGCCTTATCCACGATCTGGTCAAAGTCTGTGTACAGGCTGCGTTCCCCAAGGGCCGTGCTCAACGCGTCAACCGACCGCTGGAAGAATTTGCGATGAAGATGTATGAACGATATGTCCAGATTCGGAATCGTCACGAGTTTTTGCCATTCGGTTAGCCATTCGCGTGTTGGCTGGCTGCCTTGGTGCATGCTGAAGATCCGGTTCACGCCTTTGCCTTGAGCGTTGTCGACGATGAAGCATTTCCGCCAATTCTCGGTCATGGCCTCCCAAGTGATCTTGGTGTAAAGCTTAGAGACTTCGACCCCTTCGGTTTGAGCCAGGTGGTTGAGCCACACTCACACTTGGCTGGCACCGGTGCTGCAGAGGTAGAGTGCTGAGATCTTCGACTCTGGCAGGACCAAGTGGATGGAGAGCTCGTTGGTGAACCCTTGCCACCAACTTATGGGGTCCGCTTTGTGGTAGTCATCAAATCTGTCGATGCTGAACTTCGGCATCTTGAATTGTTTCGACGTCAGGCTGTTGCAGGTCCCAGTTGGTTGCTGCTGCAGCTGACGCAGATCCGCTTGCAGGGCGGCTATTTGATGGTTGATGGTCGCCGGTTGTCGGAAACTGTTCAAACTTCAAATTTCCGACGCGCGCCACTAGATGACCCATTCGTTCTTCCAGCTCGCGGATCGATGGATCAATGCTTGACGATGCCGTGTGTCTGTGCGGCACGTCATCCTTCTCCAGCATGTCAAGGGGGGCATGGAGGCTCTTGAGAGTCTCCGCATACTCAGCAATGGTACATGCCTGCCGAGCCAGCTCCACTTGTTGCCAATTACAAGTGAGGATGACTTGGTGCATCATGTTGGCGAGGGCTGACTTTTAAAAAAAAAAAA